GTTGTCCCGCGGTTGAAGCCTGATGAAGGGCTGCTTGATACTCTGGCTGATATCTGCGTGAGAGGTGCCTTCTTCCAGAAGGCATTGGAGATTGTGGCCTGCATGGAAGAGCATGGAATACCACCAAACAAGTCCAAGTACAAGAAGATTTACGTGGAGATGCATTCCAGGATGTTTACGAGTAAACACGCTTCACAAGCGAGGCAGGACCGGAGGAAGGAGAGGAAGAGAGCTGCCGAGGCTTTCAAGTTTTGGTTGGGTCTGCCGAATGAGTACTATGGGAGCGAGTGGCGACTTGACCCCTTGGTTGAGGATAGATTCCTTTGAGAAGGTTAGTTACTTCCTATACCAACGCAAATATGTTATGTTTGTTGTTGTACACTATATGTAGCAGAGGAAGCTTCCAATTTGTGGATATACATTATCACTGATTCTTGTAGTGAACCAAAGTGATGGCTTCTGTATTGTAAATGATGAACACAACTTTCATGGAATATAAACTGATAGCATATGAACAAATGCTGTTGTGAGATATGTCAAAGTTGTTCTGCAAGCATGTGAAACCACAGGTTTACGCATATACAAACGACTTGATCAACCTTCTAAAGCAAGTTCATGAAGAACTTTAGGGCCTTCACCTGGACGATTGACTCCGCGAATAAGATGATGTTTGCACCTAGGAAAAGCAGTTGTTTTTGTCAAACATCTCCACGAATGCACCATCAACAAGGTCCTCTGTAAGCTCACATTCTACAGTTGGAGGCACTCTCCCTTCTTGATGATCTTGAGGGTTAAGTGACTCCAGCAATCTATGTCAGGCAGTTCTCCAAGTGAATAGACAAAAATTGAAGGAGAGTAACAAGGAAATGCAAGTAAAAAGGAAGTCTCAAACTCTACTTTCTACCATATGCCTTATTTTCTGAAAATCTATTGCTTTAGCTGAAGATTTGAGTGGTTTGAATTTTTTTCTCTTGCGTATGTTTAAATTGCGAATATACGCTGGTGAAAGCACCCTTACAATGCTGGATTTACAGTTTTCACAATCGGAACTCATTTGAACAACCAGAGGCTTCACCGTGCTAACCTTCACCACTGTTCCACAAACAGATACAAGCTTGTCTCTCAATCAAGGATGGATCTATTACTAATGGTGTTTTTTCTTGAAGCAGCAGGACAAAAAAAAAATTTGTTTTTAGCTTAAGTCTAAGTTACTGATATAAGCTGCCTTTGACGATTTTGAGGACCATCATCGATTCCGGATACTTATGTGTCATGAACCAGTTGATCCCAATAACTCGAGTTGTTGGGAGAGGTTCAATCGTGGATCATATACCACAACACTAACATTATGAAGACGGAGGATGTTGATCCTCATCCCATCCTTCAACAAGTTATTCTCCCACTTACTATGAATCACCTGCTTGATGCAGACAACGAATACAACTCAGCCGCGAATTTCAATACATATCGGGTGTTGCATTCTAACATTTGTGATACGAGCACGAAACCACTCGTATTTGTTAAAGTCGCGCAGCTACTATCTTTTAGGGTTTTCTGAACTTTTCTCAACAACACGAAAAAAATAAAAGGATAAGACGGAATTGAACGTGCAACTTCAACACGAAATCGGGAAGACGCTCGAACAATATAAAGGTAAAAAGCCTCGACCACAATCAAGATGGATGCTTATATATACATAGACACACTCAACACGATTGTAGTCCACCAACGACGAGAGCAAAATTCACAAGCCAAAAACTTGATGAACTAGGGTAAAATTTCAATAATAATTGAAGTCTGTCCTAAAACTCGTGTTTACAACCTTTAAATAGGCCTGAAAAAATAAAACTAATCAAAACCTTGAAAATGAAAAGAATCCTAACACAAAAAGGTAATTTTAACACGTCAGCCCCGATCCCCGGTCAGGGATTTAACTCAACCAACTGGGGGGTCTCTATTGCAATTCCCGGGTCACCCTCTTAATTCCCCGGTCGGGGAATTTGATGACTCGACCGAGGGAAATTACATCAGTCCCTCCTCGTTGAAGAAATTTTTCTCTCAAAACTTGTGTAAAACACCATGCATCATTCTCCCATTTGAATTCAAGAAATCCACATAGCTCTCGATCCAAACAAGCGTCACAGCCAGACCTGACAAATTACAACCCGACCCTGACCCGGCTGAAAAATTGAAGTTTTTATAACTCAAAACCTGAATAACCCGAACCCGATTAACTCGCAATATTTTGGGTCAAGTTGGATGGGTTAGCTGGTCGACCCATTTCATTTCATATGTCACTCCCAAAATGATAAAATCACTAATAAATTAGTGAGATGTTTAAAAAAAATCACAAGGATTTGAAAGACATGTTTGGAGTTTAAGAATAATCAAATATCATGTGTTTCTTGTAGTAGTATCACTCTTGTGATTGCTTTTTGACAATTTGTAATTCATTTCATTAGCATAAGAGGATTTGAGAATACGTTAATTGACATGTGTTAGGTAAACTATTGTCATGCATATGTGAAGATTGCTGTTCTTTAAAAAAACATCACGCATGTTTGATATTGTTTATGAGAGCGCTCATAACACGAAATGACCTATAACCCGACCTGAAGCACGATGGGTTGAGTCAATAATTGACCCGAAATCAGCCAACCCAACACGGCTCAACCCGTAATCCGATGCCCCAACCCTACCCAATTGCTAGGTCTAGTCGCAGCCTGGCTTCCAAACAAAATTTCCTGCATAATCATCATCAAGAAAGAACATATAGACTCCACAATTCCAAGGAATCCAAAGCTCAAACAGCTAGACAAACAAGTGTTTCAATCCATGTACTTCGAAGCGCAAGCCGTCATTCAATTTGCAGAATTGAACGTCGATGTCGGAATTATCGGGTTCTGTAGAATTGACAAGACCAATTCTCCTCCCTCCAGGATCGATACAGTAGGTTTGTATTGATCGATTCTCATTCCTTGAGGTAGTGGCATCTTTATCTAATCCTTATGGACTAGATTTAACACATAGGAGCTCGAGAATCGGGCACAACATCTTGAACCTTGCTGGCAGTGATAATTGGTCACCAGAATGATTTCCTTCGACTGTAGCTCACCCAGTTCAAGCACGTTCTCCATGGAAAGCTAGTTGCTTAAAAGCTGCAACTCCAGAACACCTTCTTCAGCGGCCTCTTGTGCTATACCCGTTGTTTCTTCAACAACTGTTGTTGTCCTTTCTATCCTGGGAGAAATCATTCTGCAACCTTGGGTACTAGAGGAGAATAAGATTCCTTAAGGAGAGACATTGAATTATGTCGGCTAAGACGGTTGCATGTGTTTGCATGATTTTCGTGATGTTACTTGTTTTGCAAGATATAATATACCAAAATGAATCCACCAAAAAGATGAGCAATAAAAAATTAAAGACTAATTAAGAATTGCCGCAAATCAATTGACATGAATAACTGGAGGTGTTGGGTATAAGGTTATTATTTATTTTACATTACTCTTTACGCGCGTCTTCAGACGAAAGTGAACTCACGAATTTTAAGGTTGTACAAGTCCACCATACGAAGGATGCACCTATGAACGTCCCTGGCCACCTTGAACGCGTCGAACTTCCTTCTCTTCCTATCACACTTCATGTTACACAAAATACATGTTGTTGCTGCTGAACTCCAATCGATCCTGGTCTTCAAGCTCCAACGGATGGCAACCGAGCTTGTTCTTGGCGATGAAGGTGTTGGAGATCTCCGTAGACCACTCTCCATAATTCAAATATGTGAGTAAATCCCCAACAAATACTATACTTGGTGCATATGATGGATGAAGATATAAATGAGACGTTGGGCCAATGATCTTGGGTGGAGGAAGATTGATATCCTTCTCCCCCGTGGCCCCGTGCTTGATTCTTCTTTGCTCATGACCGCTCTGATACCAGAATGAAAAAGATAACGCAAAAAAATGAGAAAGAAACGAAACACGGAAATTTTACGTGATGAGCTTAATGTGTTTACAGCGGGTAGGAATGACTATTTACCCACCCATGGGTAATTTTGCCCAAACCCAAGTAGACCCATTTATTATGGGTAGGGTTTGGGTGATGTGTATATGAGTTTGGCATTTGTATATGGGTTTGGGTTAGATATGGATATTTATCTAAATGGGTATGGGTTTGATATGGATATCCATTTATTTGAGGGTGTTTTAACTACACATACAAAAATTGGACCTATTTGTAAAACTTGATAAGTTTAGGCACCAAAATGTGAGACCAAAAAATTTTAGGTACTAAAATGTAATTTTTCATCGATATTTTGAGGACTTATATGAAAAAAAAATTAATTTAGATATTACATATACATAACTATTAAGTTTAGGTACCAAACTGTAATTTGCATTTGAGTATAAGTACGAAACCCAAATCCATATATTAAAAACCCAACCCAACCCAAGTAAATAGGTATTGGTAATTGGGTACAAATTCATCAAACTCTACCCATCTAACATCTATTTGGATTCTATACCCAACCCAATTAAGTTGGATAGTAAAATACCCATGGATATGGGTAATATTGTCATCCTAATAGGGGCAACTTAGATTACCGACGATCAACAATAGACAAGGCCTTAAATACTAAAGGAAAAAACAAAATACTAGGTAAGAAATTAAACCGGGAGAATAAGGAAAGAAATAAAAATCCTAGGTGAATAAGGAAAAGAAATAAAACCGGGAGATATAATACACTAGGAAACTTCTCCCAGCAGACGACAGTTTGCGTTCAAAATCCAAACCCTCCTCAATCAATGTACGTACGTGCGTGTTGGTTTTGTAGGCAATGACTGAAAGCGATAATACCGTTCCGTTTGAGTAAACCGCTGAAGAGGAGGAAACTGCCTCTGCCTCTGCTCTGTCCAAATTCCTTCGATCTCCTCACTATTCTCCACGGCCTTTTTCCAAGGAGTTCCCCGAGGAAACGAAACACACGCATCAAGGCTCGAATGGGGTCTGAATTGGCGGCGAACAACCACCGGAGGCTCCTCCGGCTTCGATGCTCTGTTCAGCACTACGACTGGGGCAGAGTCGGGCCGGAATCCCTGGTCGGAAGGCTCTCTGCTTTCAACTCCCGCTCCGAAATCCAACCGGACAAGCCCTATGCCGAACTCTGGATGGGTGTCCACGACTCCGGCCCATCTTTCGTCGTCTCCGGCGACGACAACGGCGAGTCGAGTTTGAAAGACTGGATTGCCCAAAATCCTGCTGCGCTCGGCCACAAGGTTTTCACCAACTGGGGACCTCATCTCCCCTTCTTGTTCAAGGTACTCTCTCTCCTACATACATGTCGTTAGTGTTGTGGTATATAATCACGATTGAACCTCTCTTAATAACTCGAGTTATTGTGAGCAACCGAGAGGTTTTGCGTTCGATTCCCGGTAACCTCCATTTGTTAAGCGCATGGTATTCTTGTCTTCTGACCTGTGCAAACTTCAAGCCCTTGTGAGTGGCTTCCGTTTGAGGGGGAGCGTGCTAGTGTTATGGTATATGATCCACCATTAAACATCTCCTAACAACTCGAGTTATTGTGAGCAACTGGGTCATGATACATGTAACATGCCCCTTTTCTTCTTCTCTGTCTCAACATGGAATTGAGTTTCTTTCTAGTGTAAGTTCGATTCGGTGAGTAAATCGCGTAAATCTACGTGTGTTTACTTTCTTGTTCTAACCCGAAAGCACTAATTTATCCAAATCTCATAATAATTTCCTGCCAGATACTCTCTGTGGCTAAAGCACTATCAATTCAAGCGCACCCGGATAAAGAACTGGCGAAGCAGCTCCACAAGTCGCACCCAATTGCTTACAAGGACGACAATCACAAACCTGAAATGGCTTTGGCCCTGTCAGAGTTCCACGCCCTTTGTGGTTTCATTTCTCTTCAGGTACTTCTTTCATCCATGTACTTTTTTTTTTCATACAACAAGAGATCTTTCTTACACACACATTAATTTGTTAATAATTGTCTCCTCCCACGTATATAGGAGCTCAAAGATATGTTGCAGAACACTCCAGAGATCAAGGAAGTGGTCAACGCCGAAGATGCAAACCAACTGCTGCAAGTCAACGACGAACAGAACGACGGAGGACTCGAAATCAAATCGAGATTGAAATCCATCTTCACCCGACTAATGTCCGCCAGCAAGGAGGCGGCAGCTGAGTCAGCATCCAACCTGAAGAACAGATTGCAGAGGGAAAGCCAGGGGAGGGAGCTAACGGAGAAGGAAAACCTGGTTCTACAACTGGAGAAGCAATACCCAGGCGATGTCGGCGTCATAGCAGCCCTGTTCCTCAACTACGTGAAGCTCAAACCTGGCCAAGCTCTGTACATCGGCGCAAACGAGCCGCACGCTTACGTGGCCGGCGAGTGCATCGAGGTCATGGCCACGTCGGACAACGTCGTCCGAGCTGGACTCACTCCCAAGTATCGAGACGTCGGAACCCTCTGCTCCATGCTCACCTACAAACAGGTAAACCCATTTTACTGCATTTTGTCTTTCCCGAAAACAGCAGAAAGTTGTCACTTTCTGTTTTCATAGTTGGAAAATGAATAGAAAACGGAATGAAAAGTAAACAAATTTTCCCGTTTCAGTGACTAAATTTATGACATGAAAACGGAAAACAGAAAAGAAAAATGGAAGTGAAGCCTTTTTTTTCTTTCGGTTTGTGGGAATGCAGGGGCGTCCTGAAATCTTGAAAGGGTTTGCTCTGAATCGGTACACGACGAGGTATCTCCCGCCGTTCGACGAGTTCGAGGTGGATCGGTGCTTGCTGCCGGGAGGGGAGTCGGCGGTGTTTCCGGCGGTGGAGGGACCGTCCATTTTTGTGATCGCGAGCGGGGAAGGAGCGATGTTGACGGCGGGGTCTTCGACGAGAGATGCGGTGGTGGAAGGGGATGTCGTGTTTGCAACTGCGGATACAGAGATCAGTGTGAGGGCTGGAAGAACAGAGCTGCATTTGTATAGAGCTGGAGTCAATAGTAGATTCCTGCAAATCCTATGAACAATGAGTAATGTAGATCCATCTACTGACAACATGTCATCCTTAACATGTCTTTCGATATAAATGAAATTGTGGCTGGCTGGTTTTATCAATTATGAAATTTCGAACGAATTCCAATAATAATTTATTATTTATGATAAAATGACAATTAAGTAAATTTTACTTATATATATATGTTATTGGCGCCAATGCTCCAGATTTCGCGAGTAAACTTTCTTGCTCAACCGCTACTTAACAACGAAAGGAGAGGAAGAAAGTTACTTGACATATACGGTTAAAGCTCGACCAATTGAAAGAGTAGTGAATATAACTAATCTTGATTTTGCTCCTACACCTTCTTTGGTGTGTGTTTTCAACTACTCTCGGAGTTTCACTCTTCTGCTAATGCTAATCTGCAATGTTGCTACTACTCATAATCAACATCATCAATCACTCGTCATATTAGCTTTATGTATATGGCGCACCTATACATGTATCTCATTTACATATTGTTACTCGCCGGTTGCTTTTTTTTTTTTTATGAAGATTGTTGTTCCTTATTTTTCAGTTGTTACGATCTATGTTTCTTTTTCTTTGCTTGATATATGTGTGCAATCCATGTTGGTATGTGTTGATGGTAATATTGATCGTTTTCTTTTCAGGAACTTCATTTTCTGCTATCATATTGGTTGGATGAGAATTTTGGTACTAGTGATTTTAGAAAATTATTTTTTTTTTGTTCGTTATTGATCTCAAGGTTCGAACTCAAAGGTAGGTAGATGTTTCCATCTTCATATTACCATTTGATCAATGATTTGGAGTTAGAAGACATGAATTTTCAATGACTAATAGGAATGTTGTTTATGCCGAAAATTAATAAGGGTAATTTAATTGAATTCTGAACATATTACATACATGTTTTGAGAATTTAATTAATTCAATTTATTTCTAAATTTTTAAATATTACATTCAAAATATAGGAATTCATATAAGAATGAATTGTACGTAGGAATTCATTTAAAGTAATAAATTCTCAATTTTTTTTGGTTTCAAACGATATGTAATATCACCAAAGTTCACATAATCTAATGGTGAAATCCTTAGTGGGCGCTCGTTCCGCGAAGTTGCAGTTTCCATGTTCGACCCCTACCGAGGTCCGGTATATGATGTTTCCGAATGCATTTAATGGAGATCCACGTGGATGGACGAAATAAATCAAGCAGATGAACCGCCATATTTGGTCTCGCTCCGTTATCGACACTCATCACTCAACCTGTGTGTGCGTTAGGATGTTCTTGAGTTATAAAAAAAAGTATGTAACATCAAATAAAAGTTGTACGTGATACGATAGAAGCGGCCAGCTATTTTTGGACCCGGCCCATCTATCAGCTTTTGGGTTGGGCTAGCAGTTCCATATAAAACACAGGCAAATGCCCCACAGGCCACAGCGTCGCTAATCAACAGTATAATTTATAGCTGAAAAGTAAAACTGCAACCCCCATTCAAATTTTCTTGTCCATAGAGTGATTTTAGGAAGCTGATGTGGCAGGGTGTTAAGCGGGAAAAAAATAGAACTCCCCGCCTGATTGCAGAACTAAGAAACCGTTCACTCCCCACCTTTTCTCCTGGTTTCCCACGTTATCATTTAATTTTCATTTAGTTTTCTTTTGGCTGAAATAAGTCCACCTTTTCTACTGGTTATTAAGAGAGAGAGAGAAGAAATTCACGGAAAGGGAAGCGCAATTGCAAGCACATTACAGAGAGAGAGAGAGAGAGAGAGAGAGGGAAAGGTGAAAGGGAGGAAAAGGAAGGAGGTTGCTTACCCTTTTACAGATTCGATCTGCGGAAGGAATGGAAGAAGAGATTAGGCAGGCGCAGAGGAGTTGTGCTGTGCTGCCCTTGCCCTAATCGGGACAAACCGCAAGGAGCTAAACCTGGCATTCTAATGGAGGAATTGGGGTGTGGGAGTCGCATATCCTCTTTCTGGAAGACGACGAAACCCTATTTCTCTGATTGCAAGCCTCTTCCAGGGCATCTTTCTGGCAGCAGGCTAATTCACAAAGTGATTGTGATTCGATGGAGGTAAAACATGAACCCGTGGCGAAGAGGTTGTCGACGATCGAGGCTTTCCCCTCCAGCGAGAAGCACAACTACTGCCGCCGCCACTACCGTCTCCCCCGCCGCCACGAACCCTGCTTCTTCTTTCTTCTCTGCTTCAGCCTCTAGAAGGTTGCTCCAAATCGCTCCAGCTACTCTTGAGGAGGCCCCCATCACTCTCAAGCCAGCGGTATTTCCTTCTTTCTTATTAGCTCCAAGCTCATAATTGGTCTTTGTTTTATTATCTTTGTATGTGATTATGCTGTGAATTTGGGAGAACTGGGTAATTATGCGGCGAACCCTTCTCCAGCCAACCACCAATTCCATGGGGAGGGGTTAATTTTGCTGTATCTTTGTTTCCCCTGGTTCTTGCAATCGGATTAGGTATCATTTATGTTCTCGCTTTGTGGTTCTGAAGTAATATTACTTTGATCTGTCAAGTGCCATTATCATTGATCGACGAAAGGATAAATATAATTTGTGGAATTGTGTGGTGGAAGTGCTCCTTGCGTGTTGCAAGTAGCAAAAATTACTAGAGGTTCAATTACTTGAAAAACTTGACTTTATTTGGGATCTTCATGTGCTTTAAGGGTGTACTGACATTCTTTATTGAGCCCAAAGAACTACCTTTTGCTGCTGTAATTTCTCATTGATGGTTTGGCTTCATTGAAGATTGTTTTTCAAGTTATATTTGCATGTATGATAATTTTATATGTGTGATTCAGGGATCATGTTAGAACTTGGATTATCTGAAGATTGAATATTTGCATGTCCCTCATATAGTCGGATTTGAATTGCAGAACTATCCCTTACGTGCCAAATACTACTATAGTCGGGCATGCATTTGTTGCTAGGATTTCTGAACTTCTATTTTTCTATAGTTTAAATTCTTTACTAGCAGTTTACCAAAGGATTAACAAACAAAAAGAAAGAAAAACAGTAGCAGTGAAACCATGTTGCAAAGTCACAGCCTTAGTAAATTGTGTATGCGTGTTGGAGTCCATGAATTATTCGAACTTCTAATTCAGTAGCATTTGATGCCCCAGAACGTGAAAATGAACAAAGTTCATTTGCTCTGTTGCAGCATGTGTCCTGCATGTTTTGTCGTGGTTGGTGTTGTTGGATTTGATAATGTTTTCTTTCTGATATTAATATGTTTGAGAGGGTCGAGTAGATATTGTTGCTATCGAGGTCAGAATATCTGCTTCTGATATGTTAGACTGCTCGCTTTAACTATTTGGAGTCCTAAGACTATGACACTCGAGCAATTGTTTCACCTGTAAGTATATTCAATCATCCAACTTTCGGAGATTTCTAAAGAGAGGTAAAGCTTCTTACTGGATATAATCTGAATATAGTATGTGCATAATATCTGCCTGAATCGATTAGAGATTTGATGGTAGAGAATTTGATCCCTTTCTTTGAATTTTCAATTTGGTGAACCCAGTTGGTGGATAAATTCACTTTCTTGCGAATCTAGAAGTTGGGTCCGTTTTTACCTTATAATAATTAAGAGGGTCTATCAGTTTTACTTATTCCAGTTGTCGTTCTTCTTCTCCAGATTCCTCATCCGTGGCAGTATTTGGTGAACTAGAAATATTAAATGGAGTCCTAAAAGGAGCTGAATAGTATTCTGTCAAATTTATTTACTCTATTTTGGATTACTTCTCTACAGCTGATCAAATTTATTTACTCTATTTTTTCTAACCATCATGCCTGTGATGCAGAGCTTTGAAACACAAACAGAATCAAAATCATGAGAAGTTGGTAGCTGCAAAAATGTTTCCCTTTCTTTAGGCAGCAGGTAATATTTGGTGTCTTCTTCGTGGTTGATGACTTGGAGAAATTACATACCTGCAAGTGGCAAGAGTAGTTCTTCATCAGTGGAGCCTGAATCTCTTGATACTGTGATCGATTCGCTGAAGCGTGGAAATGTGAATTCCGATTGCTTCTTTTATATTTCTTTAACGTTGTGCCATGTATTATTAATCATGGGTGGACAGCTTGGATTGGTTGCTTGATGAAGAGAAATGAGAGATGGTGACCTGCTCAGCAAACAAGAGTGTTGTATGTTGTGTTGGGCGGTTGAGGGAAATTTGGAGTGATCAATAGAGCAAGAATTCTCTAGGCTCCAGCTCCCCAAAGGGTATGTACCCTTCCCTTAATTCTATATGAATAAATTCTATAAGGCAGTACACAGTACACTGAATCTATGTCATTTAACCTCTGCAGATGGTGATGTGGTTTATCAGTAGGCTGGCAGGAACGAGAAGGTAAACAAATATTTATGCGAGGACTTATGAGATTTTAGTGTACTAAGTAAGCATACGTTTAAACAATGGTATTGTATCTTTGATCACTGCATCACCAACTGGTCAATGGAATTATTTATCAAAAGACAGTGGAAGTAAATTCAAATATTCCTGCATTGATTAGTTCCATCTCACCAGCAAAGCCGAGCGTTATAAACTTATGTTTTCAGTGTTTTGTCAGTTTCAACCGTTTTATAGATTCATGTCAGTTCGTCAAATTTACGCCACCAATTATAATCATCACTATTATTATACTCATTAAAAATTCACCAAATTCATTAACACCTTAATATCACCAATGATGAGTAATTTTGTAATTCCCATTTATATTCCCTTTATAATCACCCTTTATAATTCCAAACTCATAACTTTTTTTACTTCTTCAAATCAATTTATATTTCGTTACCTCTTGCACTATGGAAGTGTAGTGACACCAAAAGTATCTAAGTTATTGATTCGGAGATTAGAATCGTATGATGAGTAGAGACTGTACATTGAGCGTCTTTGCTCTATAAAAAAAATCCTATTTGCATCGTATTATAAGTTTGAGACTCCAACACAGCATTCCTTTGGAAGCATTAATTTCTTAGGATCAAATTTTGGTTAGTTCCTTCGTGAACTATTTGGTTTGAGTTCTTTTCAATTATTTGGTGTAGATCTTTGGAGATGAGATTAGGAGAGCACAATGCAGTTTCATTTTTTTCTTCTTTATTTTGGAGTT